CATGCTAGCCAACCATACTGGTTCCTTCTCTTTTTCTTCAGTCCACTATCTCTGTCTGCTGTAGACTCACTGAGCCCAGAAATCTGAAGCAGAATGAGTGGGCTGTTTCACAGTCTACTGAAGGTGACCAAGGTTTCCTGAGGAAAGGCACAGCTTTTCCTGCAGCAGAGCCAGAACCTGCACAATTGGTTAATTCTACAGTCACTGCCCTTCCCACTATGGCCTCCTTCCATTCACTTTCTAGCCTTGTACATTCTCTATTGGATCTCATTTTTGTTCTTTTGTAAGCAATCTGTTCATTCTGCTTCTGTGATTTTAAATGACTTTCTGTCTTTCAAGTTCAGAAATTTCACCAGGTTGTACTTCTTATGTTTTAATTCCATTTCATTTATCTAGTATACTCTTTTATATCTAAAGGATCTAAGAGTTCAAAACTCATACTGTGAAATTTTCATTATTCTTCCATTACAACTCCTCTTTTATTCCCCCCCCCTCTTTTTTTTTTCTTCTCTTGGGTCAGTGATTCTTATATATTAGTATTAGTGGATCAATCTTTCTCATTACCAAGGATTTGCCTTTTTAAATTTTCTTCCTTATTGCATTTTGTCTTCTAAAACATGAACATAGCCTCAGTAGTAAGTTCTGTTTGTATTTTTACATTCCTCTAATGAATTTTTAACTGAGAAATAGTTTTAGTTCTAGGAAGTTTTCTCTGGTCCTATAATTATATCCCTTTATGAGTTTTACATCACATTTAATCCAGCTTTTTGTCCATTTTCTGCATTAGCCACGCATCCAAAATAGAAAGGCATTGTAGTCTTATCCTTTCTTTGTAGGCTTCTCTATAGCAGCTCTATAGGCTGCCACGTTTACGTTGAGTGTCTGGGATCTTCCTCAGCCTATTCATGCAGTCAATGTGCTCGATTTAAATACCTCTGTGGTTTTCTGTAGTCTTCACATAAATGATTAGAGTAGGCTTTTTTTTGCCAGTAGGCAGCTAGTGCTCAGCTTAGCCTGTTAATGGAAGTAGCAGAAGGCCTCTCCACTCACAAGTCTAAGTAGAGCTAAGTTGATAGCAGCGGGATGTCAAAATTATAGACCTAAAATGCCTATGATCATTCAAGAGATCATTCTGTCATTGCTGAATAGTGCAAAACAGTAAATAGTCCTCTTTTGCTATATTTTTACATATTCATCCATCTACTGGCTACCTTAGGCTGATCCCCCACCAACTGACATTTATGTCTTTACCTCTACCTGCATGTTATTTCAAGAACCCTGTGTAACACTGTCTATGGAAACTCTTCAAGTTTTTGAGATCACTCTTTCCTTAATTTCTAGATAGTTTATTCTCCAGGATAGGAATGTGAGGTCAGGTCATCATCTTTTAAGAAATCCATTTACTTAAATTTTAACAGCATTCCTGACTCCTAGGAAGAGAACAGGCAACAGAAGACATACAATTAATTGTTCCAAATTACTTCTTAACAAATAAGATAGGTGTGGAATTTGGAGTTAATATAAAAATAGGTCAGAGTATGATCACACACATGAACATACAGCTTTTATAATGTTCATCAAATGCTTGCTTCTGTTGTAGCAGCCTCATTTATTAGGTAATTGACAGCTAGCTATATTATTGGATAATTTTTATGACAGTGACCTTGGCTGGCATTTATTATATTTCTATTACATGTCTGGCACTAAAATAAATATATATCAATAAAATTATTTAATCTCCACAAAATCCTGTGAACAGATACTACTATTGACAACAAAGTACAATATAGACACCGGGGCTTGAGATATTAAGTAATTTACCAAAGCCATAGCTAATAAAATATTTTATTTCCCTGACTAAATAACGAGTGACTTGAAAACAGCTTATGTCACACTTGTGTCCATCCCCTACCATAACGGTCCAATCAATAAAAAATTATCTGTGGAAGAAGCAAAGTTTTAGCTACATTTGAATCCTAGATCACAACTTTATAAGTGAATGTTTCAAAAAATGTTAATTGTTTATAAAAGCATTAACAGACACAGATTTAAAAAGCAAATACACACACACACACACACACACACACACCCCATGAAATTCTCTACAATGGACTAAACTCAGCCAAGAATCCATGGAGGAATAAAATATTAACTCTGTCCTTAAAAAACAAGCAATCTGAAGGAAAAGCACATATACTAACAATTAAATACGATAGTGTTATTGTTTTTTAAATGTATATATAAGGTTTTATGAAGTCACACATGACAAAAACATTAATTATCCGGTAGGATAATAAGTCTTTTCCTCTTATTCAACAGTAAAATCATATGTAGAAATAAGCACTACTTAGAAATTTTTATTAGCAAGTTTATTACATTAATCTATAAATGCATTTGGTGATATAAATGACAAGGTAGACTAATACTGATAAAAGTTCACCATCTTTGGAAAATAGACATATTCCCCAACACTGTAAAAGCATTGTCTGCTGTAACCAAATAAATTCTAACATATTTTGAAGCTTTTCTTCTTAAAATATATATGTTGTGATTTTGTCTTATCAAAATGAACCATAGATTAAACATGGAACTAGAATAAGCAGACTCAGTGTTAGTATACCAATACCAAGAGGATTATAAAGGGGCAGCTTAGAGGCTACACATGGGGGCACATGCCTGTGATGCCAGCACTTGGGAGGCTGAGGCAGAAGATTGCAATGAGTTCAAGACCAGCCTGGGCTACACAGTAAGCTCAAGGAGAGCCTAAGCTACATAGTGAGTCCCTGTCTCAAAAAGACAAGAAAAGAGGGGGCACAGCCTGCTGAACAACTATAGCTAATAAGCACAAGTGTCTGTCCATACCATGTGATTCACATTTTTGTATCTATGTATACTTCCATGACAAAAAGCCTGTAAGAGCCAGGTATCTCCTAAGTATTTAGTTTAAATATTAAGGACATATTACCCAGTGATAGAAGATTCATTATTTAAAAAAAAAATCTTAAAACTCAATTTAATTTTTTTTTTTATTTTGAGTGTAGAGGGGACTTACATCAATATGAATTCTATTGTTCTGATTCTTGAATATTCTGTTTTTCTTGCCCTGGAAATTGTTGATAAAACTGTCTTGTTTAATTGGAACATCGCAAACAATAAACAACAAAAAGTGTGGGACAGAACAGTACCAAAGTCCGGCCAGTCAATACAATATTTATGGTTTAAAAATTTTCAATTTACCATTACTATGATGCACGGACATCAAGATGACAAAATTTTCATAATGTTGGCATTTCTCACAACACACATTGCACTAATGAATTTGGCTGAGACAGACTATATTGTCCTATTATAAAATTATATGGTTGATTTTCCTCCAGTTGGTTAATAAACATATTAAACTTCATTAATGTTTCTTTGCGCAGTAGGGGAGAAACTAATGTCAACCGGTAAATAATTATAGAAGTTTCCTTATCATGGGATCAACCACAGATATCATATCCTTCTTATTAAAATAAGCATATGAGTTATCATTTGGGCAAGTTTTGATGATTTATATATAAATACAAATAATTTATGATTTTCTGAGACTTTGACTTTTAAGAAAGGAATAATTGTTTGGCTTACATTCTTATATGAATGGCTTTTGCAAAGCATCCCTAAACTCATTCAGTGCTTTGACTAGTACTAGATATAGAAGAGAAATTATATTTTAAAAATCTAAAAGTGTTGCCTTTCTGTCAGACCTCTTATATATAACACATAGTTTTACAACAGTCAAAGTGCTACGTGTGTTCCTATGTTTAAAAAGTGAACACTGGTAATAACTGTCCCATGTACAAGTGTTCCACAACATCATTAGCCCTCTGGAGTCCACATCTGTTGTCAAGACTCTCTACTTATATTACTGTTACGTTAAACATTTTAAAATAAGGAAAACAAAAAAGAAATGGATTTTAAAAACCCATCTCCAGGGACTAATGAGGACACACAAACTTACCATGGAATTCTGCAGTGATGCCCCGTTAAAGGGAAGGGAAACTGTCTTGTGTATCTACGTACAAGGACTGCTGTGGCCACTGACCTACTTGTGTCTTATTTAAAGTCCAACCCTTGAGTCAAGGGTCAATATATCTACTGGAATAAGTAAATTGCTCCTCATGTATATTCCAGAAAATTACCTATTTCTTTGAATTAACTTTAGGGTCCATTAAAAGAAGCAGTCATTATAAGAATGAGCGTACTAAATATGTTTGCTGTGCTATCCACCTGACCAAACAAAGCATCATGGGTAAAATGTGTGGCATGAAAGAACTGGATTTCCCTACTCAGTAATTAGCAGGGATAATGCCTTCTGGCCACTACTAGTGTGCAGTATCTTACCAAATGCTACTGACTCAATCCGATAGGATGTCGTACAAGATTTCATGTCTTAAAAGATAAAAGGCCGCTGTTTACCTTTTACAGCTGCTTCTGTATTTAGCCTTGTAGTCTCTGCTTGCTCGTGCAGATCAAAACCTGGCCTTGTTGCATCATCTTGGCATTCTCACAAGACAACTACCTTGGGTGAAAATGTTACTGTGTGAGTGTGCACAGGACAAGCACCTGTTCTGGTTTGCCTATAATCCTTCAGGCTTATGCTCACTTCAGGATAACTTAGCAATGTCCTCACTCTAAACGTGTCCAGTTTGGATGCTCAATTATACAGTGACCATAATTTAGGTCTTAGGAAGACCCAACCACAGTAGTCAATATTTTTCTTCCTCCTATTTAACAAAGACTCAGGAAATCAAAAGATCGAAAGACATTTCATTTTGGGATATTAAAAAACTGTTCATCTATGGTTTCAGTACTATTGTGGTAAGGACCAATTTTTTTAAGTTATATGTTTCATTTCTTCCCTTTAAAAGAAAAAAAATACATTTTAATCAAGCGAAAAATGGATGACAATAATACAAGAAACAATGAACGTACAATAGCTTTTCATTAACATTTCAAACACTACAAAACAGAATATACAACTTAATGAAAATACAAATTAATAAAAAATGGGGTACATGTCATATTAGCCATGCAAAAGACCAGCTTAAGCATAGTTTCTCTAAGTCAACAATTAATAAAAGGAAAGTGCCCCTTTTCAAATATGCACAAAAATATTTAGATCACTTTTAAGGGAAAATTAATCAAAACTTCTGCTAATTCTATATTACAGTATGTATTACTAACGGTTTACAAAACTGAAGCATCTTTTTACATGTAAAATTTACAACCTTTCCCAATCATTACATACTCACTCAATCCAGTCTGTCAAAAATAAAATTATTCCCTTTCTAGATTTATGACATCATTACCGATATGTTATGTGTCTCAAATGACAAATATGTATGAAAAGGACAGTGATCGAGAATGTCATGGATCCAAAGTGAGCTGAGGATCACAGAGAAAGTCCGCCTCTGCCTTGTGCATTTGTGTGCTGGCTTCTGCAATACTTCTGTTATTTCTACAATATTTCTAATTGTACATTTTCTCATCCTAAAAACTTCTAAATATTTCATATTTAAATTTGCTATTCATTTCTAGTGTTTTTTTTTTTTTCAGTTTATCCCGTATTGCCACCTGACAGAAGGTTTCTTCCTGCATTCATACAAATCCTTTAATTCTGAGTCCAGCTGAGAACAATTAAACAATGAAGACTCAACAATATGCTTTTTGTCTTCTGTATGTTTAGTGATTCCTACTTTTATGGTTTGAATTTCTCAGAAACTATGCAAAACCCTAGTCATAGTTCTATGATGCAAATGAGAAAAAAATTAAGTTGTCTTTTCCAAGCAATAATACTAACGTTCACTGCAACCCATGTCTCCAACGGAGTTCTACAAGTTCATGCTTTTAGCCAACATCTTATGAGAAGTCATGCTTCATGGGTGCAGTTCTAAAACTAACAACAAATAGGAAATCACAGTGCTATCTCCTTCCAAGCCATCTGTGCAAAAAGCACCTACAATCAGTGCCAGCCTCAGCTTTGAGCTTCCTAATTCACTTCCCACTATTTTCTACCAGGTTGATTAACATTCACTGAGGAAGAAGTGAATGGATGGAGAAGAACTGGACTGCAGTTCTGGAAAAGGTTCCAATGGTCACTCTGTGTTCCTTTGGTGTCATTCACTGCTGCTACTGCCGCTGCTGCTGCTGCTGCTGCTGCCGCTGCTGCTGCTGCCACCACCTCCATCCTCTTGCTTGGGGGAGGATGAACTGTCCCTCACTGGCAACAGGTCATAATGACAAGGGATGTGACTGTTCTTTGGGAGGTCATAGGGATCCTGGGTGAGATGCCCAGCATTGCTGAATATTCCTTGGACAACACTGACTGTAGGTTCTGTGATAAACAAAGACAAATTAACTTATCAGCAAGGGAAATACATATGTTAGAAGACATATATAATTTCTTATAAATATCAAGCATACAAGAAGTACATTTATAAAAATGTAAGTCAAAAATATAAGTCAAGGGCTGGCGAGATGGCTCAGTGGTCTAAAGCACCTACTTGGAACAAGCTTGGCAAAGCACAGGGACTGCGGTTCAATCCCCCAGCACCACATGCCAGCCATCCCCGCCCCCTGGTGGGCTGAGCTGGCCACACACACACACACACACACACACACACACACACACAAAATAAATAAATAAATAAATAAATAAATGTTAAAAAAATATAAGTCAATACTACTTTTTTATAAAAGTAATCATACAGGCATGGTGATTCTATATTTGTTAGGCCAACTAACAACCACACAAGCATGATATTCAAAACAAAAGGAGAAGCATTTGTTTAGGAGGAAACAGTCATGTAAAATCCCTGGATATTAGCCACTGTCTAAAAACCACCTTGAGAATGATCTTGTCCAAATATCTGATTCAGCAGGTGAGAAGATCAAAGTTCTCAAAGGTTAACTCGATTCATGGAAACATTCAACATGTTAATGACTTGAAAATTCGTGGCTTACTCCCTGAATTCAGTTTCTATCCTGCTACTTATGGGACAGTTTACAGAGGTTATTGTTAATGATTTAAGAAGAAAGAAATTTAGCTCACTATAGTTTCCATTTTTTAAAAAAGCCATCTTAGCCAGGTATAGTGACAAATTTCTATGATTCCAGCATTCGGGAGGCTGAGGCAGGAAGATCACAAACAAGAAAAGTCACCTTAGTGTTTTAAAGCTAGCATTTCTTTTTTCAGTGACATGTCTATGGCATAAAATTAACTTCTAGTGTTAAGTTGTTCACTTAATTTAAAGTTGTAGAGAATTTTTCAAAGCAAAATCATAAATACCAAGATACTAAAGGAGAGCTAGTGTCATAGAGAAAGTAAAACAACCCTCCTGTCAAGCAAATGGTTGTTGTGGTGTTTTATCTTTCCCCAAATGATATTTACAAAGGGCAATCAATATAACTATAATTTTAAATTGAAATTGTACTGATGGGTATCCAGATTTGTCACTGAGAATATTATAGATACATTAGACAAGTTTAAAACAAAGTGTTCTGGTCCTGCTAAAAGCATTATATTAATATAATAAATATGAGTAGGAAGTGGAGTCACCTGTTTATTCACTTGAAACATTTGTTTTGGCTAACTCAGTATGTTAACTGATAGGATACATATGCAGTTCCACATGTGTGCTCAAATATTTACTATGGTTACAAAACAAAAGACGGATGACCAGGTGGGAACTAAGAAAAATTATTTTAAAATTTCTAAGTGATATTTTCTCTGAAAACTTCACTTGGTATTAATTAATATGATTACTGTATATACAGATTGGACCTAAATTTGGACCATAAAACTGTTCCTCCCATAACAGATATTTCTTTGCTTAAAAAATTATTTATTTACTTATTTATTTGGTATAGGATCTCACTACACAGCGTGGACTTGTACTGATTCTCCTGTCTCAGCCTCCCCAGTGATGAGGAGGTATGTGCCACCATGCCCTGTTTTCAGTGGCCGGCAGGGCGCACCCGGAGCTCCAGGGTCGGCATTGCATGAGGTCCCAGGGATCGAAGCTGTGTCCCCAGCCTGCAACCAGACATTCCCATGGTCAGGAGAACTCACCAACTTCATAGACGTTCTTGTTGGCTGAAGCTGAGCTACTGATCTCTGCATATGGGGAGTCTCGTCGTGCTGGTGACTTCATCTCCACGTAGCCACTCTCTGAGCTTTTAGGGAGCAGCACGGGCGGGTCTTTAATGGTGGCGTATGGGTTCTCTGAGCTGCTGAGAGAGCAGTTGCTTGAAGTATACTCAGAATGCTTTCCCAGATCTGTGAAGAGATTGGGAAAGCAAAAAAGTGAATGCTTTTGTCATGGGCAACATCATGTCTTGGTAGTAATTTCCTTGGGTAGGTTGCTTCTTTTTCTTCATGGCTAGGTTTCTGTAACTATCTATGGAAAATAAATCTATATATTCATTAGTTATTTTTGAGGCAATTTGCTGTCAAATTACCCCCACACAAAGTATTTTTAGCTCTTCTCTAAGGGAAGTGCCAATGAAAAGACCATGGAACTGATTTAATTTTGATCATCACATTCAAATATAATTAATCTGGTCCTGCCTCACTATTGAAAAAGTTACTAATTGAAGCCTTTAAATTTTCCATCTAGAAATAGCAGTTGATGGCCTCAGGAGCACAATGGGGTTCTATTATCATGATGAGAATGACATTTGTTCTGTGATGGTCCCCTGTGAAACCTTAGAACCAGGAAACTTATCATTTAAACCCCTTCCAAGAGGCAGAACTTAGGCACCGCTAACCATACTGATCTATTCTTAATTCCCCTGCATTAGGTTTGGATTAAAAATGTCCATCCAAGCTTATGTGTGCAGAGGTGGGGGTTTGGGAAGGTAAATGGGCCACAAGACACTGACTCTACCACCGACTTAGCCCATTGTTGCGTTTCTAGTTTCTAGCTGACTGCTATTAGGTGGGGCCTGGCTGAGGATGTAGGTCCTGTAGCAGGCCTTCCCTGTGTCTCTCTGCTCTGGTCCTTGCTCAGGCTGTTGCTGTTCCCTAGCTCTGTTTCTTGGAGGTCAGGAGTTGAGCAGCTTTCTTCTCCCACACCCTTCTGTCTTGGAGCTGTTCCTGATCCTAGACGGGAACTTCCGCAACCACAATCCAGTGAAAACCTTTCCTCCATTAAGCTGTACTGTCAAGAATTCTGCCTCAGCAAGGAAAAGTTGACAGATGCACCATACTCCTCTCTAGTTTACATTTGTCTTTCCACACAAGCTATGCATCATGTTCTCCCCAAAGTGAAATCTCTGTGTCCAAGACTTTTGCTCTAAACTTTTGCAGAAGTCTATGGTCACTTGACATCATCAAATGTGTTTCTACATTGGTGTAGTAACACCACGCTGACACATCTACATTGTTTCAGTCTAAGATAATTTTCAATGAATATTGTGATTCTAATATACCTATTTTCTCTTCAAATTTATGCCATACCTTTTAAAGATTTTCCCATGTAATTTCTCTCCAGTCCAAAAGCACCTGTGATAAAGGAAGAAAAATATCCATAAGACCTAAAAGGAGAAAAATCTGTCTGGGGCTCCAAGATTGTGGGTGAATCTCTCCCCACTGCAGAGACCCACTAAGGCTTCTCCTTTCAAACTTTTATTCCAAAATTCTTGTGCTACAGCAGGTGACTACAATATATGTATTTCACCTGATCACTTACAAGGACTTGGGAAAGGATGATCAGTTCAGGATAAAGCTGAGGCACACGGAGAGACAAGTCCATAAACAAGGTTCAAGGCTGCATAGTAGCGAAGACCCATCCACACCTAGAGCTGAGAACTCACTCTCAAGGGCAGCTCTTTCACAGCTGAGATGGTCTACAAATTTCTTTCCCAGTAACTCCTATTCAGTGATATTACTGCCTCTACTATAAGCATGTTTTCTAAAATCAGGGAGCCCTAAACACTGTTTATTAATGCTTTAGAAACCAAGGCAAGATCTTGACTAATGTTATTCAGCTTTTAATTTAACAATTTGACTCTTTTGAGTATGGGGGCATCTCCTGTGTATGAACCTACATATATAAAACAGGTTGCCTTCTCATTCAAAAATACCTGCCCTTTATTTGGTGGCAGTGGTGGTAAGGGTGGTCAGAAGAGAAATATTCTTGCTCACATTTGGTTGCCATGTTTGTTTTTGGTCTTTTTGTACTTTACTGTATTTTTTTGGTTGAATTATTTTTTTAGGGGAGGTTATTTTTTGGTTTTGGTGTGGAGTACTGATCCCAGGGCTTCCAGTTTGCTAAGCAAGCATTCTACCACTGAAACAAATCCCCAGCCCCTCCTGCTCACCTTTGGGAAAAATGAAGTGTCAGCAGTGAGACTATGCACTCACTTACTGGAGCCAGGAAAGGTATAAATATCCTAAATAAGCATTTAATCATAAAATCTTAATACGCATAGTATTATAAATTCATTCATCACAAATTTATAGTATTACCAAGAAAATTCCAGGTTGTTATGTAGCCCATTTTACATCAACTAGTGTTTAAGTACTAAACTGCATTGTTTATGCTAAATGAGAATCTAGGAGTCTATTGGAGGTGCATTATGACAAAGAAAAGAGAAAATAGATTAGGAGATAAAAAACTCATTACCCATATGACTTCAGGCCAGATGTTCAACCCTCTGAATGTCAATTTTCTCATCTCTAGAAAGGTAACACAAACTCAGCCTTCCTGCCTTATACCAACTGTTGACATCTTTAAGTGAAGTAGTGCATACGGAAAGGCTTTGCAAACTTCGAAGCAATCTATAAATGAATGGTATGTCAACTACTGTAACACTAATGAGTTATACTACCCTCCCCATTTTGGTCCATCTGCATGCATTTCCAGGATTTTTGACAATCTTTTAAAGGAATTTCACAGGCTTACATTAACAGCAGAGAGTAATGACCTGTGATGAACATTGAGAACAAGTATTCGAGGTTGTCAAGGACATGATGCCCTCATCTCTTAGAATGAAGTTAAACTCAGATCCTGATGGTAATATGATTTGGGGGCCACTGAGGAAACCGCGCTTCAGTGGAGAAAGAGGGTCACTCCCTAAAGCAGGAAAATGTGTCTGATACTGTTAGATAAACTAGTCTAGGCAGTCAGATAGGGCTGGGCCCTCGACGGTGACAGTGCAGAAGATGAGATGCAGCTGGGGGGCAGACAGATCCCTCCACTGAGGGCCAGACCTCAAGATGAGGACAGAGCCAATGTGCCCACATATTTCCCTAAGGACAGACTTCAGGAATTGATACTTTAAATAGGTTTCTACCACCTTGAGAAAGCCAAGAAGAGCCAGGAACCAGCCCCTCCAGGGAAAGGCCCTGTTGCGTAGTCAAGCCCCCTTGCTATACGATTTGCTTCCTCATTTGATACTGATTTAATCAGTTTTACTCATTATCACCACACAATTGTGTGCACAGTCTTATTGGACGGCGATAGTCACGCCCACCTTGCGACTTCCCATGTTTCCCACCTTGCACCCGGCTCATGTAGTGGATTTGCTCTATAAAAATCCTTAGAAAAGACAGGGTCCTTGGCAATCCACTTGAGACCCCTTCTCCCTCCCAGACAGAGCTCTCCTTCCCCCAATAACTATGTTCTGCTCCTAAACCTCCATTGTTCCTAAAATTTATTCTTCAACTTTAGCATGAACTCATCTAGCAGGTTGAGAGTTTTATCGACCTATATCAATACCAAACACCGAAAGGCAAGAAATTGAAATCTTTGCTCTCTCAGGAACACTCTCTGAGGCCTGAGTTGTGAAGAATCTAGCCCACGTCCCAGTTGGGAAAGGTACAGGATTGTACAGGGAGGTGGGATGCGGTATTTGCAATAAATAATTAGCCTTACCAAAGAGAGATCTAGCCTTTGAGAGGTGATCTCTAAATCCTTGGAATATCCTATCCAATAAACGTGATTATGTTTACCTGACTTATGTTGGAGTGTTTGGGCCATGAAAATATCAGCTGCACCTCTGGAGGGGAAAGAATTTGTATTCATTTTTCTACTAAAACATTTCTGTTTCTATAGTATGGCATTCCACGGCCCAAATGGACCGGCTCTTGTGTCAGGCTGGGGGAATTTGATATTTACACTGTTTAGAGAAGAATCAAAGAGGAGAATCAAATGACCAAATGAGACCTGACTTTCCACCCTTCTTCTATGAAGTTTTACACCAGAGAATTAAGCTCTCCATGCTTCCAGTTTATGCATCTTTCGAATGAGATTGATGGAGAGTCCACCCTACAGAATTGCCACATTTAGGAAATAAAAGCACAGAAAGAGGGCGATAGCTTGGTGTTCTAAGCACCTGCCTGGCAAGCACAAGGACCCAGGTTCAATACCCGGTACCACATGCTGTGCTGACCCTGGAACCCTGGGTGCAATGTGCAAGAGACACTGAAACCAGGTGTGGTGGCGCACGCCTGCAATCCCAGCACTGTGGAGGCTGAGACATGAGGATCACTATGAGTCTGAGCTGCACAGTGAAACCCAGTATCTAATAAATAAATAAATAAAAGATTTAAAAAATTAAAACAACAACAACACAGAAGGATCACTTAAATTTGAAGTTTAATTTTTAATTTTAAAAATGTTTTGAGGGGCTGGAGAGATGGCTCAGTGGTCTAAAGCACCTACTTGAATCAAGCTTGACGAAGCACAGGGACCACGGTTCGATCCCCAGCACCACATGCCAGCCAGCCCCGCCCCCTGGTGGGCTGAGCTGGCCACACACACACACAATAAAT